ATAATTTTTAAAAGTATTTTTAAAAAGTCACTTCAAACACACCTTTAGAGGCCAATTTTTCCTATTAAATTTTGGATGTTAATATTAGCCATTATATTAATTTTGAACTAAAATTTAAAGTGATCTGAACCATAAAAAACAAAAATTATTTTGTTTATCTTTTGAAATTTGAATTGTAAGCTACTTTATTATATATATATATATATATATATATATATATATATATATATATATATATATATATATATATATATATATATATATATACTTGTTGTTAAATCTCTTATTTAAATTTTGAATTATTTTTTAATGCACTTTGATTCATGCATTTTTTTTTTGACAATAATTTTATTCTCAAATTAATTTAATATCCAAATAGTATAACAATAACAGTATAACTATAAAAGTGTAACAATAAAAATGTAACAGTATAACAATAACAGTGTAACAAGTTATTCACACAAAACATTGTACTATTACATTTTGTCAAAAATATAGTTTCATTCAAAATAGCTCATCTCCGTTTTGAATTTGTTGTCACATACACAAAATTACTGAACACTGTTTTTGTTATAGTGTATTTGTTATACTGTCTTTGTTATAGTATATTTGTTACACTGTTATTGTTACACTATTACATTATTCAGATATTAAATTAATTTAAAAATAAAACGATTTTCAAAAAAAAAAAAAACCCCCTTGAATCAAGGTGCATTAAATATAATTTGAAAAAAAAAATCACTTTCCAAAAAAAAAATACACATGAATCAAAGTGTATTAAATATAATTCAAAATTTAGATAATAGATTTAACAACAAGTATATATTTATGTGTTTATAACTTAACTATATATTTTTTTCAAAATATTTTGTTCTATATACTTTTTACCAAATAAATATAATGAGGTGTAGCAACTTTAAAAAAATCTAAAAAATAAATGGCCTTCTTGACCAATCACGTTCTACCAACGTTGCATTTTTTTTGGTAGAACACCTCCCCCCCCCCCCCCCCCCCTTTTTTTGTCCCTCTAAAGCTCTTCGCTCCCTCCCAAACGACTAAAGCTTAGAGCTCTAACCCCGAGGGTCAAACTCTGCCCCTCAACATAAATTAATGAATATAATTTTATTTTATTTTTTTGCATTTATGATACTAGAAAGAGGACAAATGGACTTCATAGTCTCTGAAATATAATTTTTTAATTTCTCTTGTTTATATACTATTTATCATGAATTCAATAAAATTTTATTTACTTGACTGAATACAAATTTCAGTTAATTCGACTATATCGAAAAATCTTGTTTCTAACCCTTTTTTTATGGTACTAGTTATTATTTAATTAGATTTGCTACATTATATTATATAGGCTAGGGTTGCAATTCAACTTTGATCATTATGAATGGATATCAAAATCGAATCTTGGACAAGTCAATCTAGTTTTATACACTGCCATAATAGAAATAGATAGAGACAAAAGGCAAATGACTCGTTTGGTAGAGAGAATACAATATCTTCACCAGTAATGATCGACCAAAAATATTTTCATAAAATATATACTGAAACGAATCCAAATATAAGAAATTGGGGTTTTACTTTGATCCAGGGTCAACTGCATGGGTAGGTAAACCCCTTTGCCACTGGCAAAATAATATTTTGGAAAAATCCTATTTTGCCCCTTGAACGATATAAAATTCTTAGCTTATCCCCAAATGATTAATATTCTCATATTGTCCTCTTAAAAAAAATAAAAATATTATAATGTAATTCGGTGTCTTATTTTCGCTTGCTTTTTGTCTGTTTTGTGCCAAATTAATAAATCAAGAATCACAAAAAAAACAGACGACCAAACAAAAATAAATTAATGGATCACTTTATAATATTTTTATTTTTTTGAGAGGCAATGTAAAAAATTTAATCATTTAAACGGCAAACTAAGAATTTTTATATCTTTGAAGGGGTAAAATGAGATTTACCCCAAATTTAGACTTTTATGGTTGTAAAATATAATGGAATTTTCGTACTTTGTATTTCAATTTTCACTTTGTATTTTAAAAAATTATTTTTTTTATATTACGCCCTCAATGTTATAATTTGGATCTAATGTAACCCTCGTACTAAAATTTATTTCAAATTCTATTAAAAATTGATGCACATGCCACGCAAAAATATAAATAGTGAATTTATATTTTTGTCTAAGAACAACACACATAGGTGGCAAGTATTAACATAATTTAAAATAAATATTAATCTAGGACCATCTTATAAAGGTTAAATATGAAAAAAATAACCTTTTAAAAAATAAAGTGGGAATCGAAATTTTTTTAGGGTGCAAAGTATAAAAAATCCGAATATAATCATCTCTTTCTTTTTTAAGCAATTCCTATCATCATGTTATACAACAAAAAACACAGACTGTTTTGTGTAAGAAATATATATATATATATATATATATATATATATATATACCCACGAGGAAGTGGAGAGGAAGAAGAAGAACAAAAAAGAAAAAAAAGAGGAGTGAGAGAATGGAAGCAGAGCTGAGTCGCACAGCAAAGATCACTTCGTCGTTAATATTTGGTGGGTTTGTGTTGCTTTATGTGCATCTCTATAATGTTTTGGTGTTGAAGCAGAAAAGGGTTCGATCAAAGCTTCAAAGCCAAGGGGTTGGAGGACCTTCACCGTCTTTTCTTTATGGAAACATCCCTGAAATGAAGAAGATCCATCTCCATCTCCGATCAACGACGATGACATCTCTGACAGACCACCAACACCATCACCATGGCGATGGCAGTGGTGGTGCTCTTTCTCACGATTGGCCTTCCACCGTGTTCCCGCATATAGCGCGGTGGAGGAACGAATACGGTAAATAATAACTATTTGTCCCAAAAAAAGTTATTTTTCTGTTTTTTTTTTCAACCAATGAAAAAAAATTATAATTGATTAATTGGTTTGGATCATAATTACAAAATAAATTAATTGGTCACAAATTATTTTTTGTTTTATATGATAAATAAATAAGTATTTATTTTTCATCTTTTAAAAGGAATATCCACTTTATAGCTCTGATTTATTAAAGTCAGAAATAGAAAACAGATTACAGAATCCATCTCCGACCCGTTTATAGTCCGATTCGACAAAACTTTATTGAATAGCTGTAATTTGCCAGAATACTACCTGCATTAATTATTCATATCGGGTCAGAATATCGAATCAAATATTCACTTCGTAATGAATTTGGATAGAACTATGAAAGTAAAATGTGTTGGATAATTGGATCGAAACTTTTTCATTGATTTTGGATTGACTGCAATCCTATCCAAATTCGACCCTTTGACAGATCTACCTACGCATAACTGGTGTTCATTACACTGGTTGCAGGACCAATATTCATGTATTCAAGAGGGAACATACAGAATCTATGCATAACAGATCCAGAGATGGTAAAGGAAGTGAGTCTGTGCACATCTTTGAACCTAGGAAAGCCTTCTTTTCTATCCAAGGAGAGAGGGCCTCTGCTAGGCCAAGGCATTCTATCATCAAATGGACAATATTGGGCTCACCAGAGGAAAATCACTGCTCCAGAGTTCTACCTTGACAAGGTTAAGGTACTTACTCTTATCTTGGAGCTCATTTTTAATATTGTGATGTCCCGAGCCCGCATTATACAACATTTCTGCTTGTGTCAGGATTGCATGACTTTAAAATGCGTTGGACAATAAAGGTTTAAAGTTTAAACCTTATGTGTCATTCAATGCCTAGTTTATCAGTCTAACCCCCTTAAGTTCAAATGTCCTCATTTGAGCTCTACCTGTGACTCTGGTGATGTGGGCTTCCGAGAAGTACTCTCACTACTCTAGCTACCATGGTCCTAACTTCTACGCCACTATCCTACCGAACCAGGGTGCACCGAGGGATGCATAGCTTTAGGTGGCCTCCACATTACGAAGATCAATGGCTCTGGTACCAATTGTAAAGCTCCTCTATCTGCTTTGGGCCAAGCCATGCACGGCTTTAAAACACATTTTAGAATAAAGGTCCAAAGCTTACATTTATATAACATTCCACACCCACTTCACCAAGTAATGTAGGCTTAGGTCAACACAGATACACATGGAATAAAATTTTTGAAAAAAAATAATGTATGCTACTCTTTGCTTTAAGGGCATGGTGAACCTTATGGTGGAGTCCACTGCTACAATGATACAATCTTGGGAGGCTAAAATCGAAAATGGAGGTGGCAATGCAGAAATAAAAGTTGATGAGGATGAGGAGTTTGTCAGCAGATGTGATCTCAAGAGCTTGTTTTGGAAGCAGCTATGCCCAAGGGGAAGAGATATTCTTAAAGCTCAGAACTCTTCAAACTGTCATGTCCAAGGGAAACATTGGTGTTCCTGGCTCAAGGTAAAATTACGTTTCGTTTACTCGGACATCGACTTCGAAACTTTCTTTTGGATGGCCCGGATCCACTAAAGCAATTGTATTGTTTGACCCAATGATGGCCTTTCTAATCTTATTCGTATTTCGATCGGCATAGCAGATATAACTCATTCACATTTCCTTAATTTGCTATCCTACCTTGGCAAGTTGCTTACATTATAGTCATTTTGCATAATAGTTATGCAAACTAGTTATATTAGTATCAGCTGAAAACTTGATGTTCAAAGCATGTCCATCCAGCTGAGTTTGACTGTCTCTTCAATGTTAATGTTCAATTATGCACAAGGACCATAATTTGAAACAATCAAAATGTTTCTGTTTCGGTGGAAACCAAAACCTTTAGTGGTGGACAATTGAAATACATATGATTCGGGCTGTCTTGGGATGCTTTGGTATGTTTCGGGATGTTTTTGAAATACATTCAGAACGTTTCAAAACGAAATATTCCAGATTTCTTCTTTGTTACATTCAGAAATGTTTATATCTCCAAGCTAATTGAAACTATGTGTCAAAATGAAATGTAATAGGCATGTACCAAGCAAAAATAACAGAGAGAAATGGAGACTGGAGAAAGAGATCAGGTCAAAGATATTAGAGGTAGTAAAAGGGCGTGGTGAAGGTACCTGTGAGAGAGATCTTTTACAACTTCTACTTGAGGCTGCCAAGAGTTTTACAAACATTGATGATGGTATTAGTCCCAGCAAGTTCATAGTCGATAACTGCAAAAACATATACTTTGCTGGCTATGGAGACCACTGCCCTCTCTGCATCATGGTGCTTGATGTTGTTGGCGGCGCATCCAGAATGGCTATCTTGTGCTCTCACCGAGGTGCTCGACGTTTGTAGCAACAACCTTCCAGATGCTGAAATGCTTCGAAGCATGAAAACGGTATGTTATCTAAACAGTTACAAATTTCTTTCTGAACATCAGAAGAGAACTTGCTTATCTTAATGTATTTGTATCTTTTGTAAGCATAAATTCTATTATTAGTCCACTAGGCTTGGGCATGCATACACATCAGCCGCACTAAAGCAGGGACATGAGTGCAGGGTATTAGTAAGATACAGTACAGTGCACCATGGTTTAAAGTTGCAATATCAATTATCGACTTGGAGAGTACTAAGATACACATAAAATATTACACAGAAGAACTTGAATTTAATGAGAGATTCAATACCATACTGTGATATGGCAGAACAATTTTGATTGATTCGATGATTATGATTTGGACGACTCGGGTTTGACTCTAGAATTGTCTGAAACTTGTGGTTTACACTAGCCAGTATAAGAGCAGAAGGCGGCTGATGTAGAACAAGTGGTTGTTGATTATTTGGAGCATGAAGACTGCCGTGCGTCCAAGGAAGGTGACTGTTGAGACAAAATGGCTGAGACTTAGAATTGATTGAAACCGGTGTTTGATCTGGATTGGGCCAACGATCAAAACTCATAACTTTGTCATGAACTCCTTTAGTTTTGGGTTGAATTTTATTGTTTAGACCCTCACAATCCATTTTTTACGGTTTTAGGAAAGAATTTGAAAATTAATAATAAGTTATAGGAGATTTCGAATTTAATGTCGTCAGTTATGTTGAACTCCAGACGACGACACGTGTTTTTATGTTAATTAATTAAATTATAATTTTTTGTTTTTGGTAATTTTCATATAATTAAAGATTTTACCATTATTATGGGTCATTCTTATAAAGATATTCTCTTGTTCCTTTTTTTGTAGATTCAGAGTATGTGTGTTCTTTACCCTTAGGATCATAGAGTTTTTCGTGTTCCTTTGTTCGGTTGTGTCAGTGTCAAACATTTCAATATCAGCTGATTCTTTGTTTTTAATATTTTTTTATTGATTCTTCTGTTTTTTTTTTTTTTTTGTTGCCAAAAATCTCATTTTTATTTCATTTGACGTTTTGCAGTTAAACATGGTGATTCAGGAGGCACCAGACCTGAATGTCAAAGGCATACAAGTACCAAAGGGCATCAACATTCATGTTCCAATACCAGTATTACACCAGCACCCTGACCTTTGGGGTGCAGATGTGCACCGTTTTAACCCGGAACGGTTCACTCAGGGAACCACCGGGGCCTGCAAATTCCCGCAAGCTTATATGCCATTTGGGGTCGGAACTCGCATCTGCGCAGGCCAACATTTTGCCATGGCAGAGCTGAAGGTGATTCTATCTCTCGTTTTGTCGAGGTCGCCTGCTTATCGACACTCCCCTGTGTTTAGATTGGTTATTGAGCCTGAACATGGAGTTTATCTCCATTTCAGAAGAGTGTGAGCTTTTCTAATTTATGTTGTTTGAGAAGATTTGGCAGGGAAAGGTGGTGGGGAAGAAACATGCTTATTTCTTTGCCTTTGCTTCTGTATATGTAGCAAAGTGACAAAAGGATTGTGATTGATATTTTATGTATGTTGTTTCAGATAGTGACACGTCAAGTTCGTGTTAATTATTAATTAATCATAATCCTATTATTTCAATTAATCGTGTCGGATGATATGACACTAACCAGATGTGTTTATTAATTTTGAGTTGAAATGCTCAAGCCCGAGTACTATGACCTCCTACTCTTTTAACCAAATTAACAGGTAAGAGCATCTCCGTTCTCTAACAATGTTAGCTAAAATAATTATTCAAAATATATTTAAATATTATATTATTTAATTTAACTAACCATTTTTTTAAATTCACTTCAACAATGCTATCTATTTTAGTTAACCATTTCAACTAATTTTCAATAATAAAATTCAAAAAATAACAATTCAATTATACGTTTTACAAATTTAATCAATTATACGCTACAAGAGAAAACCCACCTCCCAAAAATTACTACTCTCAAATTAAATCACAAAATCCAAAACAAAATCACCTCAAATTACACAAATAACTGAAGTTAGATTTTTGAAAAAATTTTACTGAATTTTTAAAAGATTTTGTTGAATTTTTTGAGGGTGTTGATGGATTTTTGGGAGAGTTTTCTGAATTTTTGAGGGGTTTTGGTGGATGTAGCTAATGAGAAGTGACTAGCTAAATGTAACTAGTGAAAATGGGGTTATGAGAAATAGATAAAACAATAACTATGATGTTAGAGCCACATTTCAGGAAGAAGCTATCTAAAATAGCTAAAAAAGAGATTTTAGCTTGCCTTTTGGAGTTGCTCTAAGAGGTTTCCCATAGGCAAAACACCACGACCAAATGTTTTTAAAAAATAAAAAAAGCTCAAATTCTACAAATATTCATACAATATTACATCAAGAATTTAATAAAAAAAAAACTTCAAGCATCAATAAAATTTTATAGCATAACAGCTAAACGAGTGTTTGTGTTACTCGTATTTAACATTAACCCGATCCATTCAGTATTCATGTTAATAGGCCATGACATTTTCAAATTTGTGTCAAATAATAATCAACACTAATTAAATTATTACATATTAGATTCGTGTCTTGTATTGCCACCCTATGTTTTGTATTGCCACCCTGTGTTTGTATTGGTGAGATGGTTTACGGCATGCATGTTTAGGAGAATCTCTATACACTTTCATGACCAGTCCCACCAGCACCTAGAGAGTACTGTTATATGTACTGATTGTTTAGCAGTACTCCAGGTTTGAACCATACAAATCATTCCAGCAATAAATCCAGACCCAATTTTCTCTGATCCTTCGATAAAAACATTTATTCTCTTCATAAAAGATAAGAGATGGAATCAATCAAGGTTTCTTTTCGATTTGTCCCTAGAGTTGACCTCATTCAAGATTACTAGCTACATGCTCTAAATGTGCAGCTATGTGATTCTTTCTACTCGACTGTGACTGTGAGGGCACATCCACATATTCTAAACTCAAAGCTTATTACCTTCTGGTTTTCTCCCTTGTTGGTTAACATCATTCCCAGCTCCCCCTCTCTCTCTGCAGAATGGAGACAAACACACTTGACCTGTCAATTAGCATCCACTTGCAGAAATATAATTCATAAGTTCATTAAGCTACTACGATGATCTGGCAAAGGGTTTATACATTTACGAAAGGTAGCATCGAGCCTCAACTTACATCTTGAATGATCCTAAAATCCAACACATTGGTTTGAGAACTATAAAAGAATTATTTAATAGTTTGTGTGTTTTATCATAGATCCCATCTTATTAATGTGTAAAATTTAACCAAAAAAGCTACAACAAAAGAGGTATCAGCACTCCCTGTAAACTTCATGTAACTCCTATTCATAAGATTGACTAGCGGTTCTCCAAAAGAAAATTCATGAGAACAAGGATCGGGTTCGATTGCGCTCCAGTCGAGCTTCCCTCTGCAGAAATAACAACAAAGTTCAGTATAACATATTAACATGTATAGACAAGATGTCATTCAGTTATTTTGACAGTTACTAAGTTTACCCTGTTGGTCAACAATATTCACCTGTATGATTATCTGCAACAAAAACATTTTAAGAGTGCTGTCTTGTGTGTAGATAGGGAGACAAAATAGAACTTGGAAAATTGCAATATTCCGATGTATTTTCATTATTAGATGCCAAGTGTAGGGAAGCAAATGTTTGGAAGTCTCAATTGTCTAAAAATCCTACAAACTCAGTATCATAGACGTCAACAAACATAAGCCACTTTTGGGCTGACCATCTTACCACAGAGGGTGTCAGAGAGAGAGAGGAAAAATAATTTGATCCCCTTTTATTAGGCACACAACGTATAGAAACAGCACTCAACGTCATAAATGTGGAGTATGCTACCACTAGATTTTTTTTTGGCTATCACAAGAAATCACAGAACAATCAACATATGCAACATGAAATGATATGCGAACTAAATTGTATTGTACAACAGAAAGAACATCCTTCCTTTGATCAGTTCAAATTAACAGACACATCAAGCGTACACAACCCAGGCTGAGCAGGAGCCAGAGCTATTATTAGAGATTGCTAACCGTTTCATTGTGCCCTTCTCCAGATACATGGGCCCAACCATAAGCATGGCAGCCGAACTTTGGGACCTTCTAGATGGCATCATCCTAGTTTGAGATAAAGTCATCCAACCAAGACAATGCCTACAAAGGGAAGATGGGATTTGCCTTCACTATGCAACTTTAAATGACTGTTGGTGGCTGATTAATCAAGGAGCTGACATTTCCATCACCCATGGTCCCAGTGAGGTAAAATATTATGCTGATGGATTAACCAAGCAAGAATGTTCCCAAGTGTATCCATTTATGGTTCTAATTGTGTATTTTTATTAAAAGGCACTCTACATAGGGTATATCTGTTACCACATTAAAGTAATTGATAATTTATTTCCTGCCTTACCCTTTTAACTACCAAAAATGAAAGAAAATGAAACATGCATTATTAGAATTTTTTTATCAGTAGGTCCTTCTAAAGAAAATTTCACCAGGAAGTCTCCTGTTATGTTGCATGGAAGATGGAAACCTGAAATGTTATGCAGACAAATTTTGTTGATCTAGCAGAGATAACATCATAATTTGAGAACACTTGGGTTCTCCTAGATTATAGTCAGAATGATAAAACAACAATTTAAGAGGTAGCCAGACTGGGATCCACGTTTAGCTTCCTCAGTCCACATCCTATAGAAGCTGATCAATGAGTAAAATCAAAGGGTAAAAAAACCACAAATTCCAGTAAATAAGAAATTTTATCGTGGAAGCTATTATTCAGATTCAGATTTGTGTATATATGTGGTACAAGGCATATTTTATATGTACCAAACACAAATGAAGCAATAAAATAAAGTCAATTCAGGATATGGTGGAAAAAAGTTCGGCTTCGGAAACAAAGTGGAGATGCAAAGTTGGAGGTCAATGCCTTCTTGTGGACAGAGCTAGAGTTAGATTTTACCTCGTCTAACCCTTCAGGCAAGTAGAAAATGGGGGTATACATGACCAACATAGGTTTTTATCCTTTCTTCTAAGCAAATAGTTATCCTATTGCATTTCAAAAAGTAAATATATATGACAAAAGAATTAAGAGTAAGTATTTTTCTTTTAGAAGATCCCAACAGGAAGGAAATTGTGCATATAAGGGTCATGAGACTCATGACACGTATAAAGAAGTGAATCAAAGGATGCCAACAAGGTAAATGCCTGCTGGAGATATGAGACCATTTTTTTCTAGATGACAATAATGAATTTCTTAATATAATACTACTATGAGACAAACACAACCACACGTAGGGCATCAACCAAAAAAATGAAGTATTCATAACTTACCTCTTTTTTTTTGCATTCCTTGTAAACATCAAAATGTTCTTGACATTTGCTCTTGTCAGAGTTAGACTCTAAACCTGAAAATTACGCTTTACAAGTTGACACACAGGTGATTGTGTGAACAAAAAATGTTTGCAACAAAAGGATACAGACAAAAGTTCTAGCCATTCCTTCAAGCTGAAATAAGATTTAGGTAGACCAGGACTTTAATATCCCTAAATGTCACTGCACACCACTGAGTAACCATCTACTGAAGAATACCAGAAATATAAGATTGATTTTTGGTGTGGCCAGCCAATCAAAGGCAGATCGGGCATAGAACTGTATTACAAAATTGGGGCTTAATTATGCTTTCATAAGGTAATGGATGAAGAAGAGAGAAGCTAGAATATTGGAAGGATTTGCTTGTAAGTTCAAAAATATAAACGCAATTCTTAATTATGCCTCAACAAAAACGTTCTCATACTTTTCGAGAAATTACCTATATTTAATTTCTGTGCCAGGGGAGTCGGCTATTGTTTAGTCTGGACTCTAGCCACATGCTAATTTATTTAAGTGCTTATTGTTTTGCACCACTCTTACTAAAATTCTATTGAATTGGCTACCAAGATCACTTGGATTCCAAGCTTGAGTCCAAAAGTGATGTTTAACATTTTACAGGAACCAAGTTAATGAAAAAAGGATCGAAGCCTGAAGCAATGACTGACACAGTCACAGACCTTACTACCCAAGTTGCATACGACTAGTTCAGAAGACATTTACAACTTTGCATAATTCATACTTTGACATGAGACTTAATCATGCAACGCTCCTACATGTCAAAGTCTTATTTTATCAAATCCGCTAATCAAGCTCTAGTGCCAGCAAATGCTAGATTGCTAGATGGTACAAATGTGAGCTAGTACACCATATTACATTAAAAATTCACATTTGCCAGAAGATATTTTTTCTTTTACTTCTTACAGTAACATGTCTAGTTACGCCAATTTCTGATTAGAAAATCAAGGAAGACAAAACAAAGAAAATTATCACTAGCACAAAACATCATATT